GTACCTTCAGGCGTTTGGAAATTGCTCCCAAGGATGAACCAGACTTGTGGAGGTCTACAATTTTTTTTCAGAGGTCTTGGCTGATTTCTTTTGATTTTCCTATGATGTCAAGCAAAGAGGCACTGAGTTTGAAGGTAGGCCTTGAAATACATCCACAGGTACACCTCCAATTGACTCAAATGATGTCAATTAGCCTACCATGACATCATTTTCTGGAATTTTCCAAGCTGTTTAAAGGCACAGTCAACTTAGTGTATGTAAACTTCTGACCCACTGGAATTGTGATACAGTGAATTATACGTGAAATAATCTGTCTGTAAACAATTGTTGGACAAAGTAGATGTCCTAACTGGCTTGCCAAAACTATAGTTTGTTAACAAGAAAGTTGTGGAGTGGTTGAAAAACGAGTTTTAATGACTCCAACCTAAGTGTATGTAAACTTCTGACTTCAACTGTACATGACATTTCTCTCTGCAACATTTGAAACATTGTACTCCAGTGCCGTGAGTAAGGCTGGGGTATAGAGTAACAAATTACATAATTGAATTGTTTGAATCTGCTTGTTTGAGTCACGGGGCACAAGAATACCTTCCTTAAACAAGTATAACACTAGATTGGGGTGAATAGACAAATTAGTCAAATACATACAGTGGTAATTGCCCGTTAAAGCTCTGGCATTCAGATCAAAGCCTGGAAATCCGTTTTAGCAGGGCCAGAGCAGAGCGGAAGGATGAATGCCTCTGGTCTTCAATAGAGATTTTAATTAATACACTCAAACTCTAAACCAAGTCAGCCTTAGTGAAAAAATTATAAGAAAATGCATCAAATGATAGAGGAAATGCACCACATAAATTGTTCGGTATTACTTTATTAAAGATAAACTACTTATAAACTGCATATAAACATAATTTGTTACCCATTTAAATACATGTATAAGGATTGTTGTTCATGATTTGTATATGACTGCAATAAATAGTTGATTTACTGTATTTACTGATGTTAATAGATTGTATATTATGTATGTCAAAGTTTACTAATGGTTATTTGACTATTGATTATGGTTAATAAGTCGTTTATAAGCAGAATTTCACATTTGTGTCACCAACTCTTTTCCTTCATAAAGTATGACATGGGATCAGAGTTGATAAAAGCTAGGGTGTTGTGGGTGTTTGTGAAGCATCTTGGCAAAGTGCTTCTGTAGATAGAATCACCATTTCACAGGGTGCAAATTCTCCCATCACACAGCTGAGGTGAAAGCCTGGTCTATCCACACTTCAGGAGAAAGATTACAGGGAACAGATAACATTTGCACATTTTTATTTATTCATGAAAAATACCACTTGTTATTTTCTGTATTGTTTTTTTAACATTGTGCATTTTCACAGTTTTAAATATTTGCCAGTACTGTTCTTTTTTCAAGTATCGAGTATCAGTGTCAATGACAAAGCTAAAAAACAAAAAACATTCTGTATTTTTGTTTCAGTGCTGTGAAATATATTAGAGAATTTTTCAGAAGACAAACCCAAAGAAATGAGAAATACATAGCCAATTGTGTATAATCTGCTACAGTTAGTCATAGGGCTACTCTACTGAAAACCTAGTCAGAGGTGGAGGGAGCGAATGGTAAGATGGACAGACAAATGGAATATCCAATCAACTCTTTTGTTTACATGGGGTAAGCCAATAGTAAAGGCTAGGAAACAATGGAGGGTGATCCTGTGAGTGAGCTTGGGCCTGTTATTGGTTGAACTAAAAGCTAAACCTTTTCTGCTGGTCAATGAAGTGTGGCTGGACTGTTTACAGGACTCTTTTACATAAAGATCCATAGAAAAGGTGGGAGCCCTCAGAACTAGGAGCTGTGGGTTTAGGAAAGGAAGGCTCTACTCAGTAGCACAACCCCAGAAGGTGAGACATGAAGTCCATGAATTCCACTCGTTCAGTGATGGCATCGTAATCTCATAAGAACGTTTATGTAAATGTCCATTTTTTAAAACAGAACTCAGTTAGAGGCGTTTTTCGAGGAAGCACTTGTACATTATGAGATGGCCTCATCAGTAGCACATAACAACACGGTCAGAATCAGACACACATTGAGGCAATCGTCTCCCCTGTGACCTCCCTCTCTCATGTGTGTGTTTTGCTGGGGGCCACGTGCTCTGCCAATTAGCTGTTCACACTCGGTCCCAGTGTAATGTAGTGACGATCTGATTCAATGCAAGGAGAGACCGCCCCCGGGGGCCTCTGTCCCTGCTGTCTTATGACAAGTGTGTGTGTGTGCCCCACTCCCTCTAACACTGACCTTTGCCCTCTAGCTCCAAGAGCCCATCATATATCACTCCGGTCAGCCTTGGCACAGCCCAACACAGTGCATCTAAAGGGGGCTCAGTATTTCACAGCAGATCTAATAATGGCAGCACTTCCCCCCACCAGTCCCCCCCTCCCTCCCTCAGCCCATATGATTGAGTCCAGAGCAGGGGCTATCTCCCAGAGCCGACGCAGGACAACGAGGGCCGTCCGATTAGGCTATTATAAATGTAATTATAACAATGGAGAACTGCAATATACTGTATCATAGCTATCATATTGAAGATCTCGTTTGGCGAGGCTATTAGTCTATCTAGTTTCCTAGCCCTGTCTCTTTTTTCATTCTGTTCAGCTGCTACACACTGGCTGCTCTGTCTTTTCTCATAAGGCAAAGATGTCAGATCAACGTCGAATTAAGATCAATATTTGGTGGAGACGTCAACAGATTTGAGTTTAATTTGAAATGAACCAAACCACGAAGACCTGTCAGCAGTAGGTCGAAATAATGAGTGGCATTTGATGGTAATATTATTCCTCTACCAAGAAAGCTTTGCCTCCATAAAATATCAAAACAGAATAAGTGGCATAACATCAATACTAAAACAATACCATCAGTGACAAAAGCAGAGATGCTGTTTTCTCAACCACTTCAAAATGGCAGCTTGACCCCAGTGTTACAAAACACAAACATCAGTCCCTGTTCCTTTTTTTTAGCTCATTGTTGTTGTCGTTGATGATGTGATAAGGAGATAAAAACCCTGATGCCAAATTCTGCCCTCCAGTCATCCCTCTACCTCACCCCCTCCCTCCCTCCTCCATGAGAGAGATTTCAGCCTGGGGTAAAGCCGCCCTTCCCACGGATAAACGAATGACTGGACATCGTCTCATTTATGGAGGTATTTAGCTAGCCGGGGTTCTGTGCGTTATCCCTGCGAGAGGAGGGGAAAAAAAGCAACACATTTCTGCAGCGGGCTACAACTGGCAGTGGCAACCCCAGAAGTGGGTCATCTATATGCCAGGCTGAGCCTCGCATGCCTACTGCTGCCTGCCCTTCCTCCACACAAGGAAGACAGAGGACAGGGTGGAGGGAGGGATGGAGGAAGTAGAGAGACAGATCGAGGGGAGCAGAGAGACAGATGGATCAGAGAGAGGAGAAAGTGCGGACAGGGTGAGAGAGGGTGAACGGGGACGAACATCAGAAGTGGAGAGAGAGAGGGTGAGGGGAGCGGGGGGACCTACAGTAAGAGAGAATAGAGAGGGAGGGCAGTGGGCTACATCCAGTTAACCTCTGCAGAGCCCCCCCCCCCTCGTGTGGATTCACACACAAGGACCCTAAAGCCAAGATGATTTATCTCCCATAGCATCGCATGGAGGAATGCTTTCTTATTGCCCCGGGATTTGAAACGCACAGTATTTCCCCTGGCTGCTGCTTGCTCTGATTGCTTATTAATACCAATATTGATTAGGTGGTAGCTTGCCCCTCTCTTCTGACAGCTGTAGCGAGGAGAGAAGAAATGCAGAGGGATGGATGGATGGATGGAGTGATGGAGGTGTGTGTGACACAAACACTTGACATTGACAGGGGCCCTGAGATGGAGGGAGTGGTGATAAATAAAATGAAAGATAACATGATGAAAGACAGTTTTCTCTCTGTAAAGGGAGGTTGTTGACTCTCAATGGGAGTGAATGTTGTCAGAAAACCTTTTACACTGCCAAACATAACGTGTGCGATTGCAGTGATGAGATGAGCTAACTGGCATTTTGAAAGGGTTTGTTTGAATGATTTTTCTCTGTATGTTCTGTGGTAGAAAAAGGGTTCTAACAGTATTAAGACCCATTTTGGTTCCCCGTAACCCCGTAAATAATGCTAATTTAACCATTCCCCTATTTGTTTAAAATGCCATTTGTCATGCTACAGTGGTAAATATGAAAATAACAGCCCCACCTCTGTGTCATGGTTAAAAAAAAGAAAGAAAAAAAGAAATCCATGTGTCCCGACTTTTCTTTCTACAAAAAAGGTCATTTCGTCAGCATCAATTAATTCAGGCTTCAATTCACACTTTTTGGTGTTTTGTAACAGATGCCTCTTTCCATATATCAAATGGGTGCACATGTTTGGGATGCTGGAATTATTTTGGTGTGCAGGTAACCTACTTTTTGAAGTGATTTGTTTGACAATCAGATAAAACCATCATGACTGGTTGTGTTCATTCCACATTAAAAGGTAATATATTTTTTACATTTCTTTACTATTAGGCCCATAAAAAAATGTCACAGTATCATTTGCACTCTGGTGCCACTGTTCCGTTCCTAAACCCACACACAACAGCACCAACAGTCTGGATGGAAGAAGAGACAAGACATGTTAAGGAATATTGCATTGCACATGATTAAAGGCTAAAAGTTTGCAGTGGAAAGCGATGCAAACTTAAGGCAGCTAGGATTGAATGTCTCGCATGTTTAAAAAAGTACTAAAATGACATGTCACCCCGATGTGGTTCGTATTCACGTATCCCTCATGTAGAGCACAGAATAGCGCTTTTTCACAAAAAATGCACTCTCTCCCAGCCCATAAATAAATACACAACTGGTATACGCAAACTTTGTGCATATACATGTATGTACCATGTACATAAACATGAACATAAATACTATGTTATTTTTTCAACCCACACACACTCCTCCTAAACCCCAATCCAAAAAATTGAACCAAAAATGCAGTTTCTGTTGTTTTTTTGCAATTACTTCATCTAGCACAGTGAAACCCGACCCAGTTTGAAGGTAGAATGGTTGCAGTTTGTTCACTCCTGTTTTTAAAGTCAGCTTCAGCTCCCACTTATAGGCAATGAGTGTCCTCTTTCTCCAAGCTGCTCTTGTCCTTGTTTCACTTTCTCTCTCTCTCCCTCTCTCGCTCAATTCTTACAAAAAAAGAGAGGAGAGGTGGGAAACGTAGAGGCAAATAGAGGCAAGGAGCTTGAGGGAAGGTTAAAAGGAGAAGAAAGGAAAAGTGAGGTGTAGGTAGAGGAGTGGGAGAAGAGGAAGAGCGTTTAACCCCCAGAGGTCAGTCAGTATTTGGGCGGGATGACCACGATGGCGTCCCCGGTCTTTGGCCGCCACATGAGCACCTGAGCGTCGTTGGCGTTGGGCTTGACCATGGCGTTGGGGGGGATGGGTTCGTTCTTGCCCAGGATATGGGGCTGCTCCTGGGCCACGGGCTCGCGCAGCGTAGCCCTCTGGCCCAAGGGCTTGTCTGGGTCCACCTCGATGTGGAGCTGCATTCTCCAGCGGATGGTCTGCAGCACCAGGGTCTCGGCCGTGGCCTGATTGATGGCCACCAGCCAGGTGGTGAAGCTCTGGTCACGGCGGATGCTGCTGAGCTGCGGCAGGTTGCTGTCACTCACAGGCACGCCCCACGTAACACTGGGATAGAAGTTGTCGTTCATGCTGACCGTGAACTTGGTGTCCTTCTTGGTGGGGCCCACGATGGTGCACGTCTCCGTGGTGTTGCCATACCATGGGTAGTTGACGCCGTCCGAGTCGCTGATGGCCTGGATCTTGCCATCCCGCAGGTCAGGGAGTTCCCAGCTCGACCTGGAAGTGGAAAAGCAGGTAGTTAGATTTAACCCGGAAGGGAAAACAGAGTGAGGCTTAAAGGGATAGTTCACGACAAAATCAAAGATAGTGCCAATCACTCACATTCACATGGGATTGAAGTATCCGTGTGTAAATATAGCTAAATCTACACAACAGATGGTGTGAACTGTCAACGGAACTCGATTTTAGACCAGTTTTATGGTGTGAATTTTGGGTGAACTGTTCCTTTAACCTGGAAGTGGAAACAAGAAGGTGAGACTTGTTTTACAAGTGGGAATCTCTCTGCATGTGGCTACTGCTTTGCTGACAAAACGTATTTGAGTGAGATATCAATCGTAATAGGCTCTTACCCGCTGTTAAATAAAGGCTGGAGGATAAGAAAAGTGGAGGAGACTTTCTCCATGAGAGGCTCAAACAGCCTGGCAGAGTGGGTTTGTTATACAAACATCATCTCAGTAGCTATTGAGAATCAGGGCAGGGCAGCACAATCACAGCACACCCCAGGTTCCCATTGTTAACAGCCTCCCTGCCTGTCTAACCCACTCCTGTGTAGTAAGTCACTGTAGATGCATGGCAATAATCACAAATGGCTTCCTTTTCTCATTTCTCACTGACCAATGATCTGTCAACACAGGATAGGTGAAAGCGATATGTCCTAAGCCTATTGGGATTGCTTTTCCTCGTCCACCCTTATTTCAGATCTGAGTGAATTAAGTGAAGGAAACGAGGAGAGGCCACTTTGGCAATTTTGGAGTATTGAGACGCAGCTGGTGACATTGTGGGATAGAGGCACCTCATAAACAATCCGGTCCATCCGCCTATCGATTCCCCCTCGGCAGGAAGAAAATGACCTTTCTCCCAGAAGTGGAGGATCAGCAGAACTGCTGTATATAACAGTGTGATCACCAGCCACATGACAGGCCTGCATGGACATTGGCACAGTTTCTGCATAAGCACTTTGTGACAACTACTGATGTAAAAAGGGCTTTATAAATAAATGATCTGTGTGTGTGTGTGTTTTATCCATGTCCATTCTTGTCGCTACAAATCACTATCCTATCCTCTCTATCGATCTGTCTCCAAAAATACTTCAGCAATCTTTACATCTATAAATATATCTCTGACAGGAGCCAAATTGTTACATCAATTTCACTGTGAAGGGCCAACGACTACAGACAATGGCCAACAAAGCACTCCTTGTATTTTTTATCTTGCTAACACATGGTTTCTTGAGAACAGAACATGCCCAAAAGCAAAAACATTTACCTTTTTCTTTCTCCCCCTATTGGAAGTCTAATGATACTACAGGATCTACCTACTCTTTATAGATGGCATTTTTATTATAGTACTATACTATTTTCAGAACAGTATTCAAAACCATGGGAGGTGCTCTATTGAAATAGATACTAGGAAGAACCCAACAGACTAAATGGCCGATCAACAGTAGTGGCAGGCTTGGCTTCTTTTGATGTTGAGTGAGGGGCTAAATACATGACAAGCAGACACCAACACTTTGCTGTACCATCTTATAAAGTGATATAGCTGAATTGTGCTACTATAAAGGAGGTTTTATTGCAGGTAAAATGGATAGCAATCACCTTTTACCAAGTAGGGAAGGGAGAAATTATTTAGACGGGCTACTCAGACACAGGGATGGCAGGCTGGCTGATTCAGGGTAATCAATCATAGCATCCTTGAGCCGTGTGTGTGTGTGTGTGTGTGTAATTATTATTATTTATTGTGTCCCTTTCAGGAAATGTGTCTTGCATCTCAAACATAACAGCCCAGCATCACCAGATAGAGTGCATAAATGCGTTCAACAGTGTAAATCTCTAGCAATATCACAACAAGAAACAACACGTGGATACAGTTCATATTCAGTTCAGCTATTTGTTTTTTTTGTCTGATACTGGTGGGGACGAACGATTTCTGGGCTCTGGCAGTTTTGTGTGGGTGTGTGAGTTTGTCTGGGGGATGTTGTGGATGTGGTGTGTCTAAGTCTGTGGCTCTGTGCCGAAGCGAGTGTGCACAGTCTGGAAAAACTGCTTGGGACCGCCCTCTTGAGTCTTACCAGGGTGTGTGAGTTCTGTGTGTGTGTGTGCGTGCTTACTGTGTACGTCTCCACCTACGTGCTTGAATTCTTGTGTGTGTGTGTGTAGCATTACATCAGTGTGATACACACCTAACTCTACTATACCACACAAAGAGAATGCTAGACTACTGATGCTCTACTCTATTTTCCAATCACAGCGACCGTAAGACAGAGTGCCTGGCAGATTCCAAAACTAGGGCACGCACATGAGCCGACAGAGAAATCATCCACAGTATTATCCTGAGTCGCTCTGTCCAATTAGACCAGAGCATTCTGGAAGTTTACTGCCGTAATTGACGTAACTCAGAACAGCAGTCTCAATAGAGAAAGAGAGAACTTATGTCCTGCATCTTCACTGTCTCCTCAAACATGGATGACACAGCTCTCTCTGTGTTATTAAGAAGCTACTAAATAACTTTTGTCTTTCTCTGAGATTGCAGTCAAAAGGGCAGCACTGAATGATTATGGTAATGAGCTTAAATGTATGAAGGCATTTGTCAAGACTAACGACAAGTCTTACAGGGAAATCGTGGTCCTCTCTTTCAGAGAGTAGGCTCTCGGTACACAGAAAAGCATAAGGGGGAAATGCTACTGTATAGCCTTACAAATCAGACTACCGGGGCATTCTTTTTATAATCCCAAATCAGCAGAAATGTGTCGCTTAGATGAGAGAGGAGATGCACATTTACTTTGGCCATTGATCTGCCCAGAATAGAGGATCTGTTCAGTATTTGTGCCATATGAGGTGATAGCTGCTCAGAGAGAGAGAGAGAGAGAGAGAGAGAGAGAGAGAGAGAGAGAGAGAGAGAGAGAGAGAGAGAGAGAGAGAGAGAGAGAGAGAGAGAGAGATGATAGAGAGAGAGAGAGATGAGAGAGAGAGCGATGATAGAGACGAGAGAGCAATCTGTCTCTCTGTGCCGTTATGATCTCAGTATCGTTAGCGGGCTCTCCGAGATTCTGAGCAGCAAGATAGAAGTGAAGAGAGAGATTAGATAGAAGATAGCCCAACGCATTGACTGAGGCGATGCTGCAATAATAAAGAGAAGAAGCCAAAACATTGCTGCCTGCCATAAAATGAGGGAGAGAGAGAGAGAGAGAGAGAGAGAGAGGTTGTTAATACCAGTTTAATCTCTCTCACTCTCCTCTCTATTCTCTTTTCATATTATGTTTCGTTTGCAGAGCCGAGGGACGTCTCTCTAATCTCCACACAGCATTCATTTTGTTTTTTCCATTCAGTAGCTCTTTAGGCCCAGTGCGATAGATTAACACACACACACACACACACACAGACAAACACACATAGCCAGACTAGGGCAAGGGGAGGAGGTCATGTAGGGGATTGTAGTATTGGGTGTGTGTAATCTTTGACATGCAGACCCGAAACATCCCATGCTGCAACGGGTGAAGATAAACCCTCTGCATTCTGGGTATACAGTGCCTTCAGAAAGTATTCACACCCCTTGACTTTTTCCACATTTTGTTGTGTTACAGCCTGAATTTTTAATGGATTAAACTGATATTGTGTGTGTCACTGGCCTACACACAATACCCCATAATGTCATAGTGGAATAATGTTTTTAGAAATGTTTACAAATTAATATAAAAAGAACATCTGAAATGTCTTGAGTCAATAAGTATTCAACCCCTTTGTTATGGCAAGCCTGAATAAGTTAAGTAGTAAAAATGTGCTTAACAAGTCACATAATAAGTTGCATGGCCTCAATCTGTGGCAATAATAGTGTTTAGCATGATTTTTGAATGACTACCTCATCTCTGTACCCCACTCATACAATTGTCTGTAAGGTCCCTCAGTCGAGCAGTGCATTTCAAACACAGATTCAACCACAAAGACCAGGGAAGTTTTCCAGTGCCTCGCAAAGAAGGGCACCTATTGGTAGATGGGTAAAAATAAATCAAGCAGACATTGAATATCCCTTTGAGCATGGTGAAGTTATTAATACACTTTGGATGGTCTATCAATACACCCAGTCACTACAAAGATACAGGCGTCCTTCCTAACTCAGTTGCCGGAGAGGAAGGAAACCGCTCAGGGATTTCACCATGAGGCCAATGGTGACTTTAAACAGATAGGATAAAACTGAAGATGGATCAACAACATTGTAGTTACTCCACAATACTAACCTAACTGACAGACTGAAAAGAAGATGGCCTGTACAGAATGCAAAATATTCCAAAACATGCATCCTGTTAGCAATAAGGGTCTAAAGTAAAACTGCAAAAAATGTGGCAAAGAAATGTACTTTACATCCGGAATACACAAAGCGTTATGTTTGGGGCAAATCCAACACAACACATCACTGTGTACCACTTTTCATATTTTCAAGCATGGTGGTGGCTGCATCATGTTATGGGTATGCTTGTCATCGGCAAGTACTAGGAAACATTTTTGGATAAAAAGAAACGGAACAGAGCTAAGCACAGGCAAGATTCTAGAGGAAAATTTGGTTCAGTCTGCTTTCCAACACACACTGGGAGACAAATTCACCTTTCAGCAAGACAATAACCTAAAACACAAGGCCAAATATACACTGGAGTTGCTTACCAAGACGACATTGAATGTTCTTGAGTGGCCTAGTTACAGTTTTCACTTAAATAGGCTTGAAAATCTATGGGAAGACTTGAAAATGACTGTCTAGAAATGATCTACCAACTTGACAGAGCTTGAAGAATTTTACCCAGAAAGACTCACAGCTGTAATCGCTGCCATAGGTGATTCTAACATGTGTAGTCAATTTGAGCTAACTGCCTGAGCTCACTTTAACTAATTTCGTAATATTTGGAAAATAATGTGATTTCTCATACATACAGTTTCTGTTGACTCCAGTAGCCTACCTCACAATGAAACCCAGCTCGAATGGATCAATTGAACAGGGAGTGTTTATGAAAGCCTTGGCTTTAAAGAAAATTGTGGACTCAGTCCTTGCCCACTTCACCGTTCTATAGAATCCAACAGTGCTAAAGCGTACTGCATCTTCAAGGACACTATCGCCTCTCTATGCACCAGAGACAGTGAATTGATACACTATATATACAGAAGTATGTGGACACCCCTTCACATTAGTGGATTCGGCTATTTCAGCCACACCCGTTGCTGACAGGTGTATAAAATCGAGCACACAGCCATGTTATCTCCATAGACAAACATTGGCAGTAGAATGGCCTTACTGAAGAGCTCAGTGACTTTCAACGTGGCACCGTCATAGGATGCCACCTTTCCAGCAAGTCAGTTCGTCAAATTTCTGACATGCTAGAGCTGCCCGATCAACTGTAAGTGTTGTTATTGTGAAGTGGAGATGTCTAGGAGCAACAACAGCTCAGCTGCGAAGTGGTAGGCCACACAAGCTCACAGAAGGGGACCGGCAAGTGCTGAAGCATGTAGCGCATACACATTGTCTGTCCTCCGTTGCAACACTCACTACCGAGTTCCAAACTTCCTCTGGAAGCAACGTCAGCACAATAAGTGTTCGTCAGGAGCTCATGAAATGGGTTTCCATGGCTGAGCAGACGCACACAAGCCTAAGATCACCATGCACAATGCCAAGCGTCGGCTGGAGTGGTGTAAAGCTCGCCGCCATTGGACTCTGGAGCAGTGGAAATGCATTATCTGTAGTGATGAATCACGCTTCACCGTCTGGCAGTCCGACGGACGAATTTGGGTTTGGCGGATGCCATGAGAACGCTACCTACCCGAATGCATAGTGCCAATAGAAAAGTTGCATAGTGCCAACTGTAAAGTTTGGTGGATGAGGAATAATGGTCTGGGGCTGTTGTTTCGGGCTAGGCCCCTTAGTTCCAGTGAAGGGAAATCTTAACACTACAGCATACAATGACATTCTAGATGATTCTGTTCTTCCATCTTTGTGGGAAAATATTAATATTTTAGGCTTTGAATGACATAGGGGCATAGGGTTTATCCCCATGGACATGAGATATAAAAGTGGATTTTTGTCTTGATAGTTTGGGTTTTTTCAATCCAATAATTGATTTGATTTTGCAAAAGGATGGATTTGCAGTATGAATAAAAATGTGCCTTGGCTTTTCCACCTTTCCTAATTTCCACTAACTTTTCCCGGGAAGTCATCATGACGCAAGTGTGCTCCAGCATCGAGGTACAGTAGACTGTTGACGTTCTGGAGTTAGCCCTCCAATCTCCGAAAATATATTGGAGGTGTCAAAGCCCCAGTGCCATTGAGAGGTGAATATGAAACATGAGGTAGATTACGGATGGCAGGTATTGTCTGGCATTTTAATTCAGGGTTATTTATATTAGGTCTTAGTCTACTCAAATGTGATTGCCTCTGCACCTGATTAGACTGTAGCCCGAAGTAGCCTACCGCATCACCTGCACCGTTGGTGAACTTGAAGTAGGCCTAGACTTACATTTCACATGGTTGTATACGTTCCCTTGTTATGTGGGTTGGGTTTAGGTTGATACTCACATCCCTTTGGTTCCATATTTGTTATAAAACTCCATGTGGTTGCATGCTTGGATCCAGCCAACAGTCCACGTCTCTTTACAGGCCATGGGCGGCACTAGTACCCGAGCAGAGGCTCGGAAGTGCGGTGTCCGATAGCGCAGAACCACGTTGGATGACTCGTCGATGCTGGTTGGATTGGAGTCGATTGAGGAGTTCACCTCGAGAACGATGATACTTTCACGGAAACTCTTGGGCTTACACCTGATACTCTGGATACAGCCCATTGCATTAAATAGCAATACAATCCACAACAACGTCCTGAGGTCTGGAGGAGAAAGACGCATGGAAACAGCAACAAATTCACAATTGCATCCACATTTTCAATACTAAAAAAAGACCCAAAAAACGAAAAAGGGTGGCACTGGCAAATGGCCACTGTTCTCCGTTGAGAATGACTAGGCTATCACTTTGCTGACATGTTCATAAAAGCCATGCATTTTGCAACCAGTTCTGTATTCCAACACTGAGGGAAAATGTAGTATTTTACTCAATAATGGAAGAGTTGTAATTAAATTCACAGCAGCATGCTTTCTGCTTTTCGTTGGCGATCCGCTTACATCACCAAAAAAGGGCCGATGCAACTTTCTTTTCCGTGTCTTGAAGCTTCCTCCATCAATAGAAGTGCCTTTTCAGATGTCTGTGCTGTGTGATCTGTTTCACCCCCACGAGAAGCGTGCGGTCGCCAGCGATCACTGGCAACTTGCGACCATCGGAGATGTACACCAGCAAAGATTCACATTTAGGCCTAATTTGTGGTCGAATAAAGCAGAAGTAATTGCTAATTGTGACGCATAATTTACAAAAACTGCTAACGTAACATTTCGACGTCATATTGGCGGAGCTCAGCGCCTCTCATCTGTGAGCCTATTCATGTACACTTTCAATTTCCTACTGAGTGTGCGTAAAATCAACTTTTCCCTCGGTTACGCATTCTGATTTCCATAAGCCACCAGTTCGGTCACTGGTGAAAGGTTTTTATTCCAAAACATTTGTTTTTGTGTGGATAAGAGGGCTGCAGCCAGCAATGGCTTGCATTGAACAACGTCTTAATTCTGTAACAATAAACTGTTAACACTTAATGCCACAGTAATAAACCCCCTTTCACTGACCCCAGTGTTACGACAATTATAACAATGTGACATAAAAAAATACATTATGACTAAATGAGGTGCACGTACATAATAAATAACCCATCTGGAATAAGTTGCTGAAGGTCCTCACTACAATAGACACAGCCCGCGTGCAATCCTACAATAACTCTGTGCACAGGGATTATATGACCGATAAGAATAAATATTGCTGTCCGTACCCGAAGTCGATGCACATTTTAGACATGGTATGCAAAAGGTTATAGGGAAAGTGAAACGGTTATCTTCAAATTAAACAGTTGGACGTAGTATCATTGCAAAACGCCTGTTGTATCATAAACCCAATATTTTCTATTTGAAAAAATAGAGGTTCAGCACACTTTTGGTCAATGCAAGGCAAGCCAGTATTTTTTTATTGTCCCCTCAAGACAGTTTATGGGACTGCCCTAGATGCGTGCGCGCTTGGTTCGAGTGGTAATTCCTTTATCTTCCCAGTTGGTTCCTTTCTCTTTTATTGTTAAGATCAATTTCAAGGTCCAGTAGTGGTAATATTTCAATTTACAGTTATTTCATCGTCGGTTATTAGAATTAACACCGAGCAACATTCAAAGGCAACCAGGTCAACTTTCCCCTCTCCATTTGGATCCCAATCTTCTTGTAGATCAACAAATAAAAACCTATTTTAATTATAATCATGGAATGTCCGATAACCCAACCAGGCTCCTTCCTCGATCCCTGTCCTTTGGGTATAATTTAGTCCCAATTCCTGGACAGACTGTCATTTCTCTGCGCTGGTCCGATCGCGGCCACAGCAGGTTCACCCACCCGCATTGGTCTATTTCAGCGGCTTGAGCTGCAGCTCCTTTAAGTAGCCTACCTTTGAGACGACACTTCCCCTGGCCACTGCAAGCATTCTGGGAAATGTAGTGATGGGTTTCTTGCTACATTTATTAAATGCACAGAATTCAGGCTATAATAGGCCTACTTCGATCAGTCAAAGTTAAATGAATAGCCCTGATTTAATTGAATGTTTTGGGCGATGTTATAGGCTATAGTCTATAGCTCACATCAATTTGGATGCATGACCAATTAGAAAATATAAATTGGTGAATATTAAATATTTAAAAAATCATTTAAATGTAGGCCTATTTTTGCCTAATAGCCTTACTTTTAAAATGCTCCTGAATTTTTTTTTAATCTATAGGATAAAGTAAGTTTTCATAATTGAATGTTTGTTATTTCTTCTTGATTTGCTGTTTTCTTTTCTTCTATTTTTGGTCATTGACAAATTGACAAAGGCGTGCCATGGGTTCGTGCTGAGAGCGTCTCTGTCGCTGTCCATTTAAGAACCTTGGAGAACTCCCATCCGGAAAATCGCGTCCGTGGATGAGCGCGGTGGAAGTGGGATTGTGCGTAGGCTACGTCATGTCCACGGGAAAACGACTGACAGATCTCATCTTTTGAGCTCTCTTCTTTTGAGCTCTCATCTTTTGTAAATACTGAATGACTTGGATGCTTGTTCCTTGATTTACTTTAATAGAATCGGGGCTACAGTCTATCAGTCTAACTAAGAATTCCTTGCTGTGTTCTCTAAATTCCAATCGTGTTACGCAACGCGCGAGAGGGATCTGAACGAAAGCCCATTCTTATACCGGCCTGGTAAGATGATAACAAAAATGTGTCTGTCGTTGAGCATAACAGGAATAGTATTGCCCATCTATTTATGCGTAAAACCAGTGTCTTTAGTTTCTGCCATTCAGGATCAAAACAAAACGTTATGCCATTCCATGTTAGTTGCTGATGGTTGTATATTTTAGTTTATGACATGTTAAAAGCTGATGATGACAATCTGTTTTCACTGTAGATTGTATCTCATTTGATTTGCCCAGGCAGATACCAGTCACGCCTCTTCGTGCAAGCAGGGATCCCGTTGTAGCCTAAACACAGCAGCATGGGCAGCGCGCATTCCAACCGGGCTAAATATATCTGGTAGGGCCGCAGGAGGGGAAGGACGACAGGGCTTAGCTTTGGACATTTAGCCTTCGTGCGTAAAACGAGAAATTGACCTTCTGAAACGTAGTACAGTAACTTTTTTCACCAAGGAGGCGAAGTGGGACCAATCCAAAATGCCCGCAATTCCGAGTTCTAGGTCCAGGACGCGGGATCGGAACAACGTCCTGAGCAGACCAGAGTTCATGTCCCTGAACCAGCCCCTACGGAGCGGCAACTTGGAGAGCCGGCGACCGGGTCAACCCAAACACCAAGCAAGCCAGCCGTGCGACCCGCAGGAACCTACCGACAGTGCCAACAAGGATCGGAAAGAGCCCACGAAACTGCCCGAGGAGGACTGTATCCAGCTGAACCCTTCCTTCAAGGAGATAGCGATGAGCTCCCTCCTCGCCATTGACATTTGTCTGTCCAAGCGCCTGGGGGTCTGCGCCTACACGTCGTCGTCTTGGGGCAGCGTTCGTTCCATGGTCACCCTGCTCGCGTTCACGGGACACGGCACCACGTGGATCTTTGGCACTATCGTGTGTCTGACAAGGAGTAATACGCTGGCGGGACAAGAGGTCTTGGTCAACCTATTACTTGGTAAATGCACTCCTCACTCTACCCAAAACACATTGTGTAATACTTCAGTTATTGCATTGTACATGTATGATTCAGCTCTTCTTTAATGGTTTAGTTATTATGCTATAGTGTGTCTATCAGTGCATTTTTAATAGGTGTAGACTAGGCAGCCTACTGATATGATCACATCTCTCTACTTCCTTATCCCTGGCCCTGTATTAGGCCTATATAACCCATGTCAATAGGCTAATATTTATGCCATGATTGTTAACTGTTAATGCTTCTCACTAAAATATGTCATTGTCCACCAGAATTTAAAGCATCCCATGGTAGAGGATCAGAAGCAGGTAATTAGGAAATCCTAGCCCTCCATGGACCCTCTCTCCTTCACCCAGCACAGAACCAGGCCTGGGGAACAGGTGCTAGGCTCCACATATCACGAGTTTACTTTGGACTGAAGAACTATAAGTAGACATTTTAACAAGCCAGGGGCCTACATCGAAAGACTCAGTGAAGTCATTATCATCAGTGTCAAGCATAGGCCTATATCAAGATACAGGCTTACACACTGCTTTGCACTTCTTATCCCCACTATGGCAGCTGGTACAAAAGCTACAGTGGAATAATTTTCCAAAGTACCTTATTTAAGTAATAAATACTTGATTAGACTTACTTCCTTAATATGATATGAAACATTAGTAAAACTAAATGCATGCTCTTCAATCGAACGCTGCTGGCACCCGCCCACCCGACTAGAATCACTACTCTCGACGGGTCTGACCTAGAGTATGTGGACAACTACAAATACCTAGGTGTCTGGTTAGACTGTAAACTCTCCTTCCAGACTCACATTAAGAATCTCCAATCCAAAGTTAAATCTAGAATCGGCTTCCTATTTCGCAACAAAGCCTCCTTCACTCATGCTGCCAAACATGCCCTCGTTAAACTGACTATCCTACCGATCCTTGACTTCGGCGATGTCATTTACAAAATAGCCTCCAACACTCTACTCAGCAAATTGGATGTAGTCTATCACAGTGCCATCCGTTTTGTCACCAAAGCCCCATATACTACCCACCACTGTGACCTGTACGCTCTTGTTGGCTAGTCCTCACTACATATTCGTCGCCAAACCCACTGGCTCCAGGCCATCTATAAATCACTGCTAGGCAAATCCCCGCCTTATCTTAGCTCATTGGTCACCATAGCAACACCCACCCGTAGTATGCGCTCCAGCAGGTATATCTCACTAGTCATCCCCAAAGCCAACACCTCCTTTGGCCGCCATTCCTTCCAGTTCTCTGCTGCCAATGACTGGAACGAATTGCAAAAATCTCTGAAGCTGGAGACTCTTATCTCCCTCACTAACTTTAAGCATCAGTTGTCAGAGCACCTTACCGATCACTGCACCTGTACACAGCCCATCTGAAATTAGCCCACCCAACTACCTCATCCCCATATTGTTATTTATTTTGCTCATTTGCACCCCAGTATCTCTATTTGCACATCATCTCTTGCACATCTATCATTCCAGTGTTAATACTAATTGTAATTATTTTGCACTATAGCCTATTTATTGCCTTACCTCCATAACTTGCTACATTTGCACACACTGTATATATATTTTCTGTTGTATTTTTGACTGTATGTTTTGTTTTACCCCATATGTAACTCTGTGTTGTTGTTTTTATCGCACTGCTTTGCTTTATCTTTGCTTTATCTTGGCCAGGTCGCAGTTGTAAATGAGAACTTGTTCTCAACTGGCTTACCTGGTTAAATAAAGGTGAAATAAAATAAATAAATAAAAGGTTATTTCCCTACATTTGCTATAGTCACGTGAATGTAACATACAGTACCTAAAGTATGACCCTGATTTCCCTAACTAGCAGTAATGGAATCATCCTAGATGGTGAACTAATTTTAGGTGGTTATTTTTGACACACGTCTGCAAAGGAAACCAGCAGACTATACCCCAGATTGATTTGAGTGAAATTGGGGCCACTGTGCCTGTGTGTATGTGTGTGTGTGTGTGTGTGTGTGTGTGTGTGTGTGTGTGTGTGTGTGTGTGTGTGTGTGTGTGTGTGTGTGTGTGTGTGTGTGTGTGTGTGTGTGTGTGTGTGTGTGTGTGTGTGTGTGTGTGAGAGTGCGTGCGTGTGTGTGTGTGTGTGCATGTGTGATTTTTCAAAAGTACCCATTCAGCTATGTGCCATTGAAGCTAAGCAGGGTTGGTCCTGGTCGATCCCTGGATGGGAGACCAGATGCTGCTGGAAGGGGTGTTGGAGGTCCAGTAGGAGGCACTCTTTCCTTTGGTCTAAAAAAAGATCCCAATGCCCCAGGGTAGTGATTGGGGACATTGCCCTGTGTAGGGTGCCGTCTTTCGGATGGGATGTAAAATGGGTGTTCTGACTCTCTGTGGTCACTAAAGATGCCATGGCACTTATTGTAAGAGTAGGGTGTTAACCCCGGTGTCCTGGCTAATTTCCCAATCTGGCCCTCATACCATAATGGCCACCTAATCATCCCCAGCTTCCAATTGGCTCATTCATCCCCCCTCCTCTCCCTTGTAACTATTCCACAGTTTGTTACTGTAAGTGAGAATGTGTTCTCAGTCAACTTACCTGGTAAATTAAGGGTTAAATCAAAAATACTCCTACACACCCCTTTGCTATTGTAGGCCCACCATGTTGGCATCCAACATGTGCTGGTTCATACCAGTGAATTCACCATGTCCCATTTGACACATGAAAGCCTAAGGGATTTTATTTTTGCTCCTATGCTGGATGCCTGGTTGCTTTGGGCTGGTGTGTGTGGGAGGCTTTTGCGTGTGTTATACCAGTAGAGGGATTACTCAGAAAAACACTGCAAATCTGTGGACTGAATCTGTATTGTGTTTAGTCTATAATCTGTTTAATTTGGGAAAGTTTTGTGTTTGGGCAATGTTCAGGTCATTGTTCAGGTCATTAATAATGATCCTGGATAGGATAGGGAACCACCGTGTTTGAACAAACATCCTGATTAAGGCAGCTGTGAATGCAGTATAATTCACAATAACATCTCTATCTCACTTCATTTTGCCTTCAGGAATGGACAGACAGACAGAAATATACATATTTTTTTGCATAGATAACATTGACTCTAGGCTGGTGAAATCCATGGCTTGGCTCTCCTCTCCCCTCACCTTCAGTAGTGCTGAGGTGGGCTATATCAGGGGGCAGAGCTGGGTCCTGTAGCTGACACCATTGGCTTTCATTGGCAGCTCAGCACTGTGTCCCCATTGTCCCAGAATGACCCCAAGGTACCACATACTCACGTCCATGCTGTCCATTCCCCTCTCTCTGCCTTCTTTCAATTTCCCCAACTTTCCTTTCCTTAATGGTCTGTGAACACTGTGAATTCTAATTTGCTAGAAGTTTACTTAAGCAATAAGGCCCAAGGGGGTGTGGTATATGGCCAATATACCACGGCTAAGGGCTGTTCTTAAGCACGACGCAATGCGGAGTTCCTGGCCACAGCCCTTAGCCGTGGTATATTGGCCATAAATCACAAACCTCAGAGGTGCCTTATTGCTATTATAAACTGTTTACCAACATAATTAGAGCAGTAAAAATAAATGTTTTGAAATACCCATGTTATACGGTCTGATATACCACAGTTGTCAGCCAATCAGCATTCAGGGCTCGAACCACCCAGTTTATAATTTACAATAGAACTAGGGGGTTATGTGTGTGGGTGGGTGTACAGGAAGGAGACAGCATCATCAATGTCTGAATCCTGAGTCCTGACAGGTTCCACAGGGTAGCTGGGTGATCAAAAATGTGATTGTGGGGATATTTTGCTGCTAAAAAGAGACAGAAAAGAGACACTTGAGGACAGGATCAAGTACTGTAGGTGAGTCATATCCAAATAATTAATAATGATCTATCACACCCAATCATAAGTAAGTCTATTATACTGTACATCTACAGTATTTCAAGTATTCTCCAGTCTTATTACAAGAGTTTGAGGTGGAAAACGTTTCTGTCTCAGTATTTCACTTGCAAATACTCTCAGCGACAGTCGCCTCAGATCAAATCACTACACAGACAGACAAGTGCACATACAGTAAGCCAAAGCTGAACTATAAGCTAGGTGCTCTCTCAGTTCTGTGCTAGCTTCCAGACCTATTTAGAGAGTAACTGGGCTGCTAGCCTGATAATGTGGCCGATTGGGATGCTGTAGCATAGAGGCTCATACATTCTGATCACACACAGGGAAGAGAGAGGAGATGCGACGATGCGCCACTGTTCCACAAACTCTTGGCTCTTCTTAACCTTCTACTGCAGTGGGCTAAATCAGGGTCACACAGAGTGTTTCTTGGTAATCTTAAACAAATCTACTTTGAAACAAGTATACACCTCACGCACATGGTTATGGGCTTACAAAAAGAAGACATCTGTACCATGGCAGATATAAAGTTGGAACGTATTCAATTTTGAATTTATATACATCACAGAAGACTGAAATATAACAAAACTGTTTGAAATAGAAACACCAGATTTTCGGCAGATTTTTTGAAATAATGTTTATTAATTATGAAATTATGAAAAATATTAATAACATTCCACCCATGAGGCCACTAGGTCATTTGACTGCAGGAAAGGGCTACAAGCCACTGTGTCATTGCTGGGGAACCGCCTGGCCTGCGTTGTTCATCACTGATGCCGAGTGGCGCAGTGGTCTAAGGCACTGCATTGCAGTGCTAGCTGTGCCACTAGAGATCCTGGTTCGAATCCAGGCTCTGTCGTAGCCGGCCGCGACCGGGAGACCCATGGAGCGGCGCACAGTTGGCCCAGCGTCGTCAAGGGTAGGGGAGGGAATGGCCGGCAGGGATGTAGCTCAGTTGGTAGAGCATGGTGTTTGCAATGCCAGGATTGTGGTATGAAAAATAAAAAAAATTATGTATGCACTCACCAACTGTAAGTCGCTCTGGATAAGAGCGTCTGCTAAATGACTAAAATGTAAATGTAGCAGATATAGAGCAAATTACACAAACTACAAGCTAATTGATCTCCATGTGTTTTTGACTACAGATATTGTGTGTTGTGGTTTACTGACCTGTGGTTAATTGATCTAGTTTGGCTTTTTCATGCAACATAATACTTTTTTTATCTTCCCACCTCAGCCCTTCTGCTTGATGTCATGACAGTGGCCGGAGTCCAGAAGCTGATCAAACGCAAAGGACCCTGGGAGATGAGTCCGGGATTCCTGGACTATTGTGTCATGGATGTGTACTCCTTCCCGGCGGCCCATGCCAGCCGCGCTGCCATGGTGTCCAAGTTCCTGCTGTCCCACCTGGTCCTGGCCGTCCCGCTTCGCATCCTGCTGGTGCTCTGGGCCTTCCTGGTGGGCATGTCCCAGGTGCTGCTGGGTAGGCACCACCTGACCGACATGGCGTGCGGCTTCGCCCTGGGTCTGCTGCACTTCAGCCTGGTGGAGACGGTGTGGCTGTCGTCCAGCGCCTGTCAGACCCTCATCTCTATAGGGACCCTCAGCTGGAGCTCCTTCTACTGAGCACTATCTATCAAGGCTCTCAACACCTTTTTGAAGCTGTGAAGCCTGGCTTTATAAAGCCTTAAAAGTAGGGCCATGAGTTCTTCCTAACATGATCTGGAACAGAGTTTTCCCTGATCAGGGCCTACTGCCCTGGCTTTATCTTGATTTCCTTTCAATGATGTTGTTTGTATTTTTCTGCTGGAAACTATCATTTGTTAAAAACTATAAATTGTTGAGAAACAGATGGACTGGACTCCAAATGTGAATAGATTTTTGCTGTCATTGAATTGTGCTGTATGTGTTAAACAAATAACATGATTGTTGTCTAGAAGGTCAGGGATTTTGATACAGGGTTAAATATTTATCCTATCCAAATAAGTTTCAAAAGATAGTTTTGATTTGTTTAAGGCTAGCAGTTTCATCATAGATCTGTACATTGTATATTCCACATTGTTTGCCTTCTCTGCTGCAATCTAAGCATTAACCAAACAGATAGACACAGTCAGTTTGTTATGGTGCTGATTTCATGCCTCTCTGAGTAACTGAACAACGTCTGTGTGAAGTCATCTACAGTACATCAGGCTTGGGGTTACCATTGATACTGTGACATATGTGTGTGTATATGGGTGATTGCGTGTGTGTGTGCATGTGTCTGTGCGTGTTTGTATGTATGCATGCAAGATTTCTTATGTGTGTACCATTGAGTGTCTAATGTAATGTATTTTGGAGGGTAGAAGTCACTGAGTAAACCTATGCTGGGTAAAGTCCTGAATGTTCACTGGAGTGTACAAAAAATTAATTATACCTGATATCAAAGGCTTTATAACTACTGTATGCCTTCATTTATTTCATTTATTTGTCTTCTGCTATCTCTTTTGGTTGCTTATTCTTGTTGTGATATTATGGACTATTTAAGCCGTAGCCTTTTTGCTTCCGCATAAAAAGATTTAATTGGGTTGGACCTGTATATATATATATATATATATATATGATATTGCATTAGTGCAAGTCAGCATGTTTTGTTTTGTACAAGGATGACAAGAAAGTCATCTTTTCATGCAGTGTTTCAGTTTATCCAGGCTAATTTGCAAAATTAAGAAGATGGCTGGATAGCCTTTATAAGATGTGGACTCTGAAAAAGTTGTATGTCCTTCCTGCGTTGTTTATGCATGCCCGTAAATATACCATTTGCCATGACTTATTTTCGTGTTGTTTTTCTGTGTGTGTTTGTGTGTGCTTGTGCGCGCGTGCGTGCGACATTCATGTTTTGATTGTGGTGGATGCTTTTAAGAACATGTAAATGTGCTCAACCCAAGTAATGACTGTATTTGGAGTCATTGACTACAAAATTGATTGGTAGCCACCACCTGAAAACCATTGATTTACATGACTCCACTCCATCAATATGTCTCACTGTCCGCAGTTACTCATCAGTAATGAAGCTGAAACAACAGCTTCCTTATTTATTCAGGAAAAACCCATTGAGATTCATGTATCAGGGCTGACCACACACACACACACACACACACACACAAAGTTGCATGGCCAGCCTTTCACCATTTATATACACTCACAGAAGGATCTGAGCCACACGGGACTCCTAATCTTCTCATTCTCCCCTTTTACGGAGAAGAAGGAAGGGAACAAAGGAGGGACAATCTGTCTCAGCAAATGAGAAAATTGCATTTACAGTGCCTTCAGAAAGTATTCACACCCCTTGACTTTTTCCACATTTTGTTGTGTTACAGCCTGCATTTAAAATTGATTAAATTGAGATTTTGTGTCACTGGCATACACACAATACCCCATAATATCAAAGTAGAATTATGTTTTCCATTTTATTTTATTTTTTATACAAAATGAAAGGCTGAAATGTCATGAGTCAGTAAGTATTCAACCCCTTTGTTATGGCACACCTAAATAAGTTCAGGAGTAAAAATGTAATGGACTCACTGTGTGCAATAATAGTGTTCATCTCTGTACCCCACACATACAATGATCTGTAAGGTCCCTCAGTTAAGCAGTGAATTTCAAACACAGATCCAACCACAAAGACCAGGGAGGTTTTCTAATGCCTTTAAAAGAAGGGCAACTATTGGTAGATGGGTAAAAATAAAAAGCAAACATTGAATATCCTTTTGAGCATGGTGAAGTTATTCATTACACTTTGGATGGTGTATCAATACACCCAGTCACTACAAAGATACAGGGGTCCTTCCTAACTCAGTTGCTGGAGAGGAAGGAAACCGCTCAGGGATTTCACCATGAGGACAATGGTGACTTGAAAACAGTTACAGTTTAATGGCTGTAATAGGAAAAAACTGAGGATGGATCAACAACATTGTTTTTACTCCACAATACTAACCTAAATGACAGAGTGAAAAGAAGGAAGCCTGTACAGAATAAAAAATATTCCAAAACATGCATCCTGTTTGCAATAAGGAACTGAAGTAAACAAACAAAAAAAAAACGTTATGTCCTAAATACAAAGCATCTTGTTTGGGGTAAATCCAACAGAACACATCACTGAGTACCACTCTTTAGATTTTCAAGCATGGTGGTGGCTGTATCATGTTATGGGTATGCTTGGCATCGGCAAGGACTAGGGAGTTTTTTAGGATAAAAATACATGGAATTGAACTAAGCACAGGCAAAATCCTAGAGGGAAACCTGGTTCAGTCTGCTTTCCAACAGACACTGGGAGACAAATTCACCTTTCAGCAGGACAATAACCTAAAACACAAGGCCAAATATACAGTGAGGTTGCTTACCATGACGACATTGAATGTTCCTGAGTGGCCTAGTTACAGTTTGACTTAAATCTTAAATCGGCGTAAAAATCTAAGGCAAGACTTGAAAATGGCTGTCTAGCAATGATCAACAACCAACAAGAGCTTGAAAATTTTTTTTAAGAATAATGTGAAAATATTGTACAATCCAGATGTGCAAAGCTCTTAGAGACTTACCCAGAAAGACTCACAGCTCTAATCGCTGCCAAATGTGATTCTAACATGTACAGTGGGGAAAAAATTATTTAGTCAGCCACCAATTGTGCAAGTTCTCCCACTTAAAAAGATGAGAGAGGCCTGTAATTTTCATCATAGGTACACGTCAACTACGACAGACAAATTGAGAGAGAAAAAATCCAGAAAATCACATTGTAGAATTTTTAATGAATTTATTTGCAAATTATGGTGGAAAATAAATATTTGGTCACCTACAAACAAGCAAGATTTCTGGCTCTCACAGACCTGTAACTTCTTCTTTAAGAGGCTCCTCTGTCCTCCACTCGTTACCTGTATTAATGGCACCTGTTTGAACTTGTTATCAGTATAAAAGACACCTGTCCACAACCTCAAACAGTCACACTCCAAACTCCACTATGGCCAAGACCAAAGAGCTGTCAAAGGACACCAGAAACAAAATTGTAGACCTGCACCAGGCTGGGAAGACTGAATCTGCAATAGGTAAGCAGCTTGGTTTGAAGAAATCAACTGTGGGAGCAATTATTAGGAAATGGAAGACATACAAGACCACTGATAATCTCCCTCGATCTGGGGCTCCACGCAAGATCTCACCCCATGGGGTCAAAATGATCACAAGAACGGTGAGCAAAAATCCCAGAACCACACGGGGGGACCTAGTGAATGACCTGCAGAGAGCTGGGACCAAAGTAACAAAGCCTACCATCAGTAACACACTTCGCCGCCAGGGACTCAAATCCTGCAGTGCCAGACGTGTCCCCCTGCTTAAGCCAGTACATGTCCAGGCCCGTCTGAAGTTTGCTAGAGTGCATTTGGATGATCCAGAAGAGGATTGGGAGAATGTCATATGGTCAGATGAAACCAAAATATAACTTTTTGGTAAAAACTCAACTCGTCGTGTTTGGAGGACAAAGAATGCTGAGTTGCATCCAAAGAACACCATACCTACTGTGAAGCATGGGGGTGGAAACATCATGCTTTGGGGCTGTTTTTCTGCAAAGGGACCAGGACGACTGATCCGTGTAAAGGAAATAATAAATGGGGCCATGTATCGTGAGATTTTGAGTGAAAACCTCCTTCCATCAACAAGGGCATTGAAGATGAAACGTGGCTGGGCCTTTCAGCATGACAATGATCCCAAACACACCGCCCGGGCAACGAAGGAGTGGCTTCGTTAGAAGCATTTCAAGGTCCTGGAGTGGCCTAGCCAGTCTCCAGATCTCAACCCCATAGAAAATCTTTGGAGGGAGTTGAAAGTCCGTGTTGCCCAGCGACAGCCCCAAAACATCACTGCTCTAGAGGAGATCTGCATGGAGGAATGGGCCAAAATACCAGCAACAGTGTGTGAAAACCTTACAGAAAACGTTTGACCTTGTCACACCCTGGCTCGGGGACTCATTATGTTGAGCCAGGGTGTGTTCATTCTATGTTTTCTGTTTCTTTGTTGGGTGTTCTAGGTTGTCTGTTTTCTATGTTTGCCGGTGTGACTCCCAATCAGAGGCAACGAGTGTCAGCTGTCGGCTGGTTGTCTCTGATTGGGAGCCATATTTAACTGCCTGTGTTTCACTTTGTGTTTGTGGGTTTTTGTTTCGTGTTCGGTCAGTGTTACCGTTGACTTCACGAGTCGTTTCTTGTTTTGTATTTGAGTTTTGTGCTTTAACTAATTAAAGTAAAGATGTTCGTTCAACACGCTGCACATTGGTCTACTCACTCCTACGACGATCGTGACAGAAAAACCCACCGTAAAAGGACCAAGCAGCGTGTCCAGGAGCAGGCAGACTGGACATGGGAGGAAGCGACAGGAAAGGAGATGGAGAGGCTGGCGATGGCCCAGGTGGGCAAATCGTGGTCCTGGGAGGACATGCTCGGGGGCAAGGGACCTTGGGGTAGGATTAAGGCCCTGGCGAGAGAGGAGCAGCGGCGTCAGCAGTGCCATCGTCGGACGGACGAGAGGCACCCCCAATAATTTTTTAGGGGGGGGCACACGGCATGGGCGACTGGGCAGCAGGAGGCTGCCACAGGGCGATTTGGAGA